GAGGTGCGGACGCAACACCGAGGGTTGCGATCCCGTTGCCGGTCCGGTACGGGCGCGACACTGAGGGTTGCGATCCGTTGCCGACACAAAAAAAGACAAAAAGGAAAAAAAAAAAGTGTATTTTCTTTTCAGAGCTTAGATTTTTAAGTAACCAGCTATGTAAAAGCAGTGATCAGAGCCCATGCTAACTAGAACTAAAAATTAATAGTTGTAACACAGTGATATTTAAATCATGATGAAAAAATTAGACTCTCCACATGAAATTTGTTTGAATTACCTCAGTTTTAGAGAGTAGCCTGTCATTATCCATGTCTATCTGTTTAAATGTTTCAATGCTCCGTGGTCCTTTGGTCACTGCATAAAGTTCAATCTCAAAAATCAGTGTTGCATTGGGTGGAATCTTTCCTTCTGCAAAGGGTATAAATTTTAACAGTTTAACTTACATAAAGGTACAGTTCAAATGTTTATTTGCCAAAAGCCATAACAGTATTACCATGGTACCATTTCATATTTATAAGAACTGCTTCTAAATACCAGTATTTAGGGTCTTACCCAATGCCTGATCTATTATAGGTACTCAAAAATTTGCTGAATGAATGACCCACATCCTTTATTATAAAAATAGCTAAATTTGTCCTTTAAAGGAAATACCAATTTCTTTAAGTGGACAAGTTTTGCTAGCATATTTATATAATCCAAAGAGAAAAGAGTTTGCAAGTTATGGCCAAAAGAAGAAGTGGATCAGTAATTTCCAAAGCCAGGACACAGAAAAATCTACCACGCATCATGTGACTAATGTGAAAGTCCTAACCTAATGTACCACATATTATTTAACCTTAAAATAAAAGAGCTAGAAATCGATTCAGTGATCATTTTTACAAAAGCCATTTGTATTCTGTCTAGTTATAATCGCCATATGACAGAAAAATAACTTCTCCTGACAATAAAGACAAATTCAAAACATATTCAAATATCTTGAGAAAAAAGTATCACAGGTACATAGTAAGTTTCTGAACAATTTTACTATAAACACAGAAAATATTGCCAGTTAGTTCTTTCTCTTGCAAAAAAAGTATAAAAAGAGAAAACTGCATTTGTTATAGAGTTACTTATATAGAGAGGAGAACATCAAACAAGAAGTTAATGTAAAGAATCTATACATACCACATATATTGTTAATTAAAGCACTAAAAAGTCACATGCATTTCAAGACATGCAGGGGTGCTCTGTGACATGAGGCAAGAATATTTCTCAGAGAAAAGACTTCTTCAAGTACTACCTAGAATAAAGTTATAGCTAACGTTAGTTCTTAATAACAACACACTTAAAAAACTTATTTAATCAAGAGGTTGGTTGTTTGTTAAACAGGTACTTATGTTCTACAACCACAACTTTTAAAATAATCTAATCCAAGTGAACACACTTTTTGGCCTGTTTCTTTACATGTAAAATGAAGGTGCTGGTGGTGTTACTAGTGAGATTCATCATTTTTTATGTTTATTGGAGACACCTAAAACTGAATAGGAGCTAACTTCTTTGAGTCAAACTTGTACATCTCTGCAACTAAGGTCTGGTTTATTAATAGCTTAGGCAGCCTGAGTAGTCATTCATACCTAAGCATAAATTAGTTTACGAAAAGGATAAACTAAGTAGCCATTTGCCTGAGGGTAATGGGCCCAGGATGGGCACCTGTTGATGAGGGATATGGGTACTCTTGGCAGACAGGAGAGTGAGTGGGTGGTCTGGTGGTAGGCTGAATGTGGAGGCATGTGATGAGACCACCTAAGAGAAAGGGAAACTCTGAAAATGAGGTAAAAAAGATTGAAAGGGAAACTTCGCCTATGTCATTTTGCCTAGAAGTGGCCTCAACTTATGACAATATTTTTAGGACAAGTATTGCATTCAACTTAATTGATCTTCAAATTTCCTTCTTTCTCCCAGATTCCTCTGCAAATAAAAACAGGATATACAAATTATAGTACTGTGGAAGCTATTTTAATGGGATCAAATGACTGGCAAAAAGCATTGAAAATGAAGCCATAGTTATCCAGAACTGTCTCTTTATGAGTTTTAAGTCTGACTTGCAGCACTGACCTCCCATGCTCTTTCATTTTTGTAAGAAAGAATAGGCGAGGGAATTACTGCACTTAATAATTAACCCTACAACCTCAAAGAATGCATGCCATTTCCATGAAATATTTGGGAGCAATGCCGATATCTTGTCATAGAAAATCTTTAATTATATACTAAATATTTGAAGTAGGAAGAGTTAGCAGGGGCTCTTGACAGTGAGGAGGTGGAGATTCTTTCTGTATAGCCTTTATGCAGCAAAGGAAACAAGGACCTAACTGAGGATAAAAGGTGGAACCTGTCCCTCTGGCAGGTTGCCCGTCCCCACCCCCTTCTTCTTACAATTTCCCTCTCTATTCTGCTACACTTAATTTTAATGATTTTTCAAAAATCTAATTTTGGGAAAATTAATTCATGCACATGATAAAAAATTCAAACAGTACAAAATATTAGAATGAGAAAAAATCTCACCCTTGACCCTCAGGCTTCCTTCCCTGGAACGCTTAATGTCATTAAATGACTGCATGTCCTACCATGTACAGTCTGTGTAGACACATGCACATGTGAAATTCTCTCTCTAAAATGCAAGCTCCTTGAGGATGAGGATAAGGACTAGTCTAGAAAACAGTTTGGTACTGATGCTTAATACATATTAATTGCAAGAATATATTCTAACCCACTTTATTTTTTAACACATTAATACATATCGCTCTACTTCATTCTTTTTACTGGCTGCACAGTATCCCATTGTATGTATATATCACAGTTTATTGAATTAATTTCCTACTGATAGATACTCTATTCTAACCCACTTTATTTTTTAACACATTAATACATATCGCTCTACTTCATTCTTTTTACCGGCTGCACAGTATCCCATTGTATGTATATATCACAGTTTATTGAATTAATTTCCTACTGATAGATACTCAGGTAATAAATGTTCTTTTACATATACCTTTGTGCACATTCCAGGAAATGGAACTACTGGGTCAAAAGATGTGTGCATTTTTACTTTTGATAGAAATTGCTTGAGTGAGGGCCGGTCTGTGGTTCACTTGGGAGAGTGTGGTGCTGATAATACCAAGGCCACGGGTTCGGATCCCTATATAGGGATGGCCGATTAGCTCACTTGGGGGAGTGTGGTGCTGACAACACCAAGGCAAGGGTTAAGATCCCCTTACCGGTCATCTTTTTAAAAAAATATAAAAAGTTAAAAAATAAAATAAAATTTACCATCTTAATTATTTTTAAGGGTACTGTTAAGTACTGCAAAGTACATTCACATTGCTGTGCAACCAATCTTTATAACTTTTCATCTTGAAAAACTGAAATTCTATATCCATTGAACAATACCTCTCTAGGTCCCCCTCCCTTAAGCCTTTAGCAACCACCCTTCAACTTTTTGCCTTTATTAATCTGACTACTCTAGGTACCTCATATAAGTGGAATCATACAGTATTTATCCTTTTGTGACTAGCTTATTTCACTTAGCCTAATGTCCTCAAGGTTCATCCGTGTTGTAGCATGTGTCAGAATTACCTTTCTTTTTTTTTTTCAAGGTTGAATAATGTCCCATTGTATGGATATGCAATTTTGTTTATCCATATTTTGTTTTGTACCACATTTTGTTTATCCATATTTCTGTCTATGGACACTTGGGTTACTTCCACCTTTTGGCTATTGTGAATAATGCTGCTATGAACGTGGGTGTATAAATATCTCTTTAAGATTCTGCTTTTGGGGCCGGCCCGGTGGCGCACTGCTACAGTGCGCCGCTTGGGAGTGTGGTGTTGCTCCCGCCGAGGGTTCGGATCCCACATACAGACCGGTTCCTGCT